TTTTCTCCTTTATTAATGTGGTAGATTACACTTATTGATGGAAATGTAAATCAATATTGTATTCCTGCCCTATACAGTCATGATATATTAGGCTTTTTATATATTACTACATTTTTTTTTAATTTAGGGGAGTACAAGTTGGTGTATATTTATGAGGTACCTGAGATGTTTTGATACAGGCAAGCAATGTGAAATGAGCACATCATGGAGAAGGGGGTGTCCATCACCTCAAGCATTTATTCTCTGAGTTAGAAATGATCCAGTTACACTCTTGAAGTTATTTTAAAATGTATGATTAAATTATTACTGACTATAGTCACCTTATTATACTATCAAATAGTAGGTCTTCTTCATTCTTTCTATATTTTTTTGTACTCAATAACCATCCCCACCCTCCCCTCCAACTCCCCACTCCCTTTCCCACCATCTGGCAACTACCCTTCTATTTTCTAGGTCCGTGAGTTCAATTGTTTTGATTTTTAGATCCCACAAATAAGTGAGATATTTCTACTTTTTTGGTGAAGATTTTTGCATCGATGTTGATAAGTGAAACCGACCTATAATTTTCCTTTTCATGACCGTTCTGTCTTTTTCAAGTTTAGGTTTTAAGATCATGCTACAAAGTCTCATAATCTTAGTATTTTTAAAGTGCTCCCTCTTTTTCTGTTCTCTGGAAAGTTTGTATAGGATTGGAATTATTTCGTACCTAAATGTTTGGCAGAACTCACAAATGAAGGACAATCTGGACCGGACTTTTTGTTTTTGTGAACAGATCATATATAATTTTTTAATGATTATAAGACTCTTCAAACTTTCTAATTTTCATTGAGTCCATTTTGATGTTACTTTTTAAAGGAATTGGTCCATTTTATCTAGTTTTCAAATTTATTGGTATAGAATCATTTATATTATCTAAATGTCTGCAGATCTGGAGTCATTAATCTTTTTTTTTATTCCTGACATTGGTTATTTGTGCAATCTCTCCTTTTCTTGATTAGTTTCAACAGAAGGTACTGATATGTTTGGCTATAAATTTACCATCTCATAATATGTTTTCAATTTAGCCTACCTGCTTTACATTTCTTTTGTTCCCTGTGATGGTTAATTTTATATTTCAACTTGACTAGGTCATGGGGTCCCCAAATATTTGGTCCAACTTTATTCTTGGTATGCCTGTGATGGTGTTTTTGGATGATATTTACATTTGAATTGGTAGACTGAGTAAAGCAGATTGCCATTCTTAAAGGGTAGCTCTCATCCGCTCAGTGGAAGGCCTAAATGGGACAAAAAGGTTGACCCTTTTGCAAGTAAGAAGGAAGTCCTCCCTGACTGCTTGAGCTGGGGACACAGATCTTTTCCTGTCTTTGGACTTGAACTGAAACATCAGCTCTTCTTGGGTCTGGAGCCTGACGGCTTTCAGACTACAGCCACACTATTGGCTCTCCTGGGTCTCCAGCTTGCTGACTGCAGACCTTGAGACTGTCACATGAGCCAACTCCTTGTAATAAATCTCTTATGTAAATATATAACGGCTGACTAATATAGACAATCTTGTACCTTGCTTTTGAATATAAACGGTACTTAAGTACCTACAATTTTGCTCTCAGCCTTTGGAGCCTCTGTTCAAACTTAAAGACCACAAGAAAAGTCACATTAAAATTCGGCCAGACTATTATTCAGTCATTTTTCAAACTCTTTCGTAATTTAGATGATTCAAATGGGAATAATCTGTGAGGCACAATGAATATTCACACTTAGACCTGAGACCTGGATGAATTATGTTCCTCTCCTTCCCCCAACTGCCTGTACAAATGAAAACAAAAATGGGCTGGTTGTTCCCGTGGGGTCCTATGGAAACCATCAGTTACCTCTTGAGTTTTCTCTCTTCTCCTGTTTCAAAGTCCTTTCTCTGTCTTCACTCATGTCTCCACAAGTAGGTATAAGCTTTCTCTCACTAGCGAACAACAGAAACTGAAAAATGATCAAAGGAAGCTACCGCTGCCTGAATGCTGCTGGGAAAACATTGTAAAAGGAGCACCCAGCAACCTGTGACCATGGAGATGGTTTGTAATCAGCAAGCCAGGGCCCTCGCTTTCCTTCCTTCTCTGGGCATCCAATAGATGGTTGGTTTAGAAAATCTGAGCCCACAGAGTATTTTCCAACAACAGCTGCATAGCAACAGGGTTCATACGCTGTAAACCTAGCAGTCAAAAACTGCTCATGTTTGCTTATCAAAACCAAAGTTATGATAGCAGGCATGCCAGGCTTCCTTTTCTAGCAGTATGGCAGATTTGATATCGTGAACTACCTTCTCGACTGAAACTAAGATACTGGATAAAATATGTAAGCATTTAAAAATAAAACCACATTGCTGAGCTAGCACAAAAGGAAGAGAATCCACAAAGACCAAAATGAAGTGAAAACAAGAACTTGAAGTAAGCACGCACCAAAGCCACCTTTTGCCCTGAGTTTCTGTTTCGACAACTGCAACAGCTTGGGGTTTGTGAATTAAAGCCTGAAATGCCACGAATATAGACAGTGTGTTAGGAGACCTCACCCAAACCTGGTACCTCCCAGGGGATATACCCTCAAGGGAAGAGTAGATAAGAAATAAACCCATCAGGCAAAAGTGGATGAAGAAATGGATACGTTTTGATCTCAGTGTTGGAGTGAGGAAAATCTCCCCTGAGACTTTCTAACCACAAGCCAGCCTTCAAATGGATTTGTTGTCTAAATTATCACTGTGGTAGTGCCTTGAGATGATTTGCAGAACGCAAAGAAAATCCTCTCTGGAGGAATAAAACCTCAACCAAGGATTCAAAGAATTCCCACAAATTTCCAAGGAAAATAAACAGTTTACAGCTTTAAAAAGTCACACAATACACAAGGAGCAAGACACTAAAATCAATGAGTAGAAAAGTCCGGAGGCAGCAAAATCGATCACAGAGAGGTCAGATACTAGGGTTATGAGATGTATAATTAAAAATTTAGAAAAAATTTTAAAAAGCTTCTACAGCTCCACGCTTGCTTATTTTCCTTGTTTCCAAATGCAAGTCCCCATCAGTGTCTGGTTCTCAGTCCCTTTCTGTTTCTTCAAAGACACTGCTCTTGCTTTTCTGCTCTTTCAACCTCCCTCTCGCCACGCACCTTCCCCCAGGGCTGTGAACACATTTATACACTTGAATACTAAAAGTAATTTTAACAGTAACTTAATCTAGAACAAGCTTGTCCAACCCATAGCCCATGGGCTGCACGCAGCCCAGGACAGTTTTGAATGCTGCCCAATACAAATGCATAAACTCTCTTAAAATAGTATGAGTTTTTTGTAATTTTTTAAATCTCATCAGCTATCACTAGTGTTAGTGTATTTTATGTGTGGCCCAAGACAATTCGTCTTCTAATGTGGCCCAGGAAGCTGAAAGATTGGACACCCCTGGATCTAAAAGAAATTAATTAACACAGCCTTATGGTCTCAGGGAAAAAGGTTAATTTCTTTTAATAAACATAGTAAATTTTGTTCAGACAAGTATAAAAGGACATTCAAGAAAAATCTTTCAAGCATAAACATGTGTTAATTTAGGATGACATTTTATACAATGGAAATACAAGTTCCAGGAGAAAAAAGAAAGATTAAAAAATTCACCCTGTTAAAGAGGAGCTTGCGCAAGTATTTTATTTTTTGTTTGTTTTTATTTTTATTTTATTTTATTATTTTTCGAGACACGGTCTCACTCTGCCACCTAGGCTGGAATGCAATGGTGCGATCTCAGCTTACGGCAGCCTAGACCTCCCATACTCAAGTGATCCTCCCACGTCAGCCTCCGGAGTAGCTGGGTCTACGGTGAGCACCACCACGCCTGACTAATTTTGTTCATTTGTTTTGTAGAGGTTGAGTCTCACTATGTTGCTCAGGCTGGTCTCAAACTCCTGGACTCAACTGATCCTCCTGCCTTAGCCTCCCTAAGTGCTGAGATTACAGGCGTGAGCCACCATGCCCAGCCTTGTTCATGTATTTTTTTAAATGGATGATAATAGGTAGCAGATCACACTGGCATTCAGTTTCTATTGGATGTATGAAAATGAGTAACGTGGCCATTTGATTTTAAAAGTCAATATTTAAGACACACCAGAAACGACGTCTCTGAAAATATTCAAACTTATGATAAATAATTTTATATGTAACTTAAAAATGTGTGAGGGTAATATTATACAATGTCATTTATATGAAGGTTTAAAACAGGCAAATTTAATCTATAGTGAAAGAAAATTAGAACGGTGTTTGCCTGCAGGAAGGATGTGGGCATAGATTGACTGGGAAGGGCTATATGACAGCCTGAAAGCTTCCTGAGGTGACAGCAATATTCTATACCTTAATAGGATCTGGGGTTAGAAAGGCAAAGCATTTGTCAAAATTATCAAATACTATACTTAAAATGTGTACATTTCATTGATGTAAATTTTAGAAAAATAGTAAATAGATATTTGATCTCTAGGGAATGTTATGTATGCTCAAGAGTTTAGGGGTGAAACATATTGTCTTAAATCTATTTGGAAATAAATAAAAAATTGATTGAGAAATGGATGGACGAATAGATAAGTAATGCAACCAAAGCAAATGTTTATCATAGAATCTAGATGGTGAGTATATGCTACTCCCTGCCCAATTATTTCAACTTTCCTGTATGTTTGAATATATCCATAATAAAAATATTAGGGGAAAAATGCAAAAGACACTTTTTTGTAACCATTTTAGGGCATGTATGGGTAAAAGTTTAAAGACGACTGGCTTCCGTTTATCACCATTTGCTGAAGAATCTTTACCCTAAACTTACCATCCAAATCTTTCTCCAGAATCCCAATCATATTTCCACTTCATCTGGATTTCCCACCATATCTAAAACTTGGCAGATCCAAAAATCAATGCATTACCTTCCCTCTACCAGTTAGGAATATCTTCAGCTACATGTAACAGAACACAAAGTCAAATAAAAGAGGGTTACCTTTCCTGTATAATCAGGAACCTAGAGTTAGGTGGCTGCAGGCGTTGGTTCAGCAGTTCCACAATGTCCTGGGTGGAAGGTCTGCAATTGTCTTGCCCTTTCTTCATAGTCACAAAACCTTCTAGAGCTTCAAATGTCATGTCTGAGTTCAACACAGGAAAAAAAGAAAAAGGAGCAATGCCAGTGACAGTTTAAAGGCTAACTTCCTTATTGTGTCATTTCATGTAGTCCCCCTACTTTCTTGCAGTAATATACTCTTGAAAACGTATGGGTCAGGGTGACTTTCAGGCACAACACATACATACATATCGATAATGCCAATTCTTGATGTTGGAGGTGGGACCTAGTGGGAGGTATTGGATCGTGGGGGTGGATCCCTCATGAATGGCTGGATGCCATCCTCCCTTTAACGAGTGAGTTCTTGTTCCCACTCTCGCTATGTACACACTGGCTCCCTGTGGCTTTCCGCCACAACTAAAAGTTTCCTGAGGCCTTACCAGAAGCAGATGCCAGCACCATGCTTCCTGTACAGCTTGCATAACTGCAAGCCAATTAAATCTCTTTTCTTTAGAAATTACCCAGTCTCAGGTATTTGTTTATAGCAGCAGAAGAATGGACTAACCCACATGCATACACACACCTACACATACATATACACAAAAACCTGAACCTCAATTGGCTTCAGAAATGACTAACTCAGTTCTGGGGCCATGTCACCAATGACTCTGGTCTTTTCAACTTCCTGCTTTGCTGTTCTCAATGTTGGATCTGTTCTCAGGCTGGTATGAAGATGGATATAGCAACTCTATGTATACCATCCAGATCCAACAGCTTCAGGAGGAAGACCATCTGGCCCCTCAGTAGACACCACTCCAATCCCATTAGTCAGAATGCTTGTCAATTTGTTTCCTGATCTAACTACAAGGGAAATAGGATTACCTCAGCCTACTCCTGTCAAGGGTCAGCTTCTCCTAAGACATATAACTTTGTGAAAGGGAGACTGGGCCAGTCTATACTAAAGATCTGAAACTGTTATGTTGGACAGGCAGCCACCATCTATCTGTAATACATGTGTGCTAAAATTGCAGTATGAAAAAACGAACAGATGCATATGTTACAATAGGAGTTCTCTTCCCTCTATATAATCCTTAGACATATTTTGTCCCAGAGATGTAAAATTCAACAATATGTTTAAAGTATAATATGTTGTTCATTCAGTTGATTTATTGAATGCCTTCTATGTACCAGACACTACTCTTTAACTTAGTTCTTTTCATTTCTACTAAAACGGAGGTAACAGATATAGAACTATAAGAGTTTGATTGAAGCTAATGATTCACTTCTTTCTGCATACCTAATGACTTCCATCTTTGTCTTTATTTCATTATTGGAGACATGTTTATTACTAGTCAGCACTTTCATTTTTCTGTCTTCTACTCATTTTTATAAACAAAAGTCACCAGATATTCAAACAAGTGTCCAAAGACACAGAGGTAGGCAAAAATGGCAACATGGTAGAAACTGAATGGTTGATTGATAGATTGTGATACAATCATACTAACCCTTATGCAGTACTTACTCTGCCAGGCTCTGTTTTAGGCACTTCACAATTACTAACTCATTAATCTTCACAACTCTGTGAGGGGAGTACTATTATCTCCATGTTGCACATGGAGTCACTAGGGGCCAAGGACAGCTTTGCACTTTGGTTGTTTAGAAGAGTGTGGCACTCCCCGCCTTCTCTTGCTCCCACTCTTGCTTTGTACACACTGGCTCCCTGTGGCTTTCCACAACATCTGAAAGCTTCCTGAGGCCTCAGCAGAAGCAGATGGTTAGCCGACTGAAAGCTGTGATTTGGCCCTCCTGCCTTCCTGACTCACTCTGCCCCACTCCCCCCAGGCTTCACTCCGGCTAACTGCAGTTCTCAGAGCTCCCTCCCAGGCCTTGCTCTCTGCAGCCCTGTGCCTTTGCACATGCCGTCTTCCTGGACTGATCTTCTTTCCCGCCTGGACTACCTCTTCTAGAGCAGATCAGGCCAGTCTCCTTAGCAATGCCTTCTCTGGTTAAGGCAGTCAGGCCAGGCACACCTGTCCAGTACGCAGCCCACCTCTCCTCACCTTATTTGCTTACAGATCTGTCTCCACCGCCAGCGACTGTGGTTCCGGGCCTGGCTGTCTCCTCATTGTTGAGTCCGTGGGGCTTGCTACTATGTCTAGCCTATCATAGGCACTCAAAGTTTCGCTGAATTTATGCATAAGCTCTCCGAATTTTACACTGTCTCGTCTCCCCCATACTGTCTGGCACCACATATTGTAGACACTTAGTCAATGGGAGTGGGAGTCTGATTTTCCTGCCAACAGCCTAACTTAATAAAAACAAAGCAAAACAAAAACCGCCCCCTTTCTCCCATCTCCACATCAGAAGTAAGGTCCCGAAAATTTAGGATTCTTCCAAGCCCTCAGATCAGTGTAACCCTGCAAGACGTGGGAGTCTGACTCCCTCCACTGGCCGGCCGGGTGGGGAGCAGCCCTCAGGACGCAGGGTGCCCCCCCCCCGCCCCGCGCCCTCTCCCAGTTCTCGCCTATTAAGGTAACAGTCCCCCGAGGAGGGGGGAGGGGCCGGAGGGAGGGCCCCCAGAAGCGGCCTGTGCGCTTGCTCGGCGCCGCGGAGTCGCAGCCCTGGACTCGCAGGCGGGCGCCCCGAGACTGGTCCTTCCAGCTTCGGATCAACCTCGGGCCCCACTTGGCTCTTCTACCCGAGGTCACCTTCCTAGGTTTGCATAGCCACGGGGCCGCATGCTTGTCCCTCAAGCATCGCCCGGGCCTCAAACCAGCCTCCGCGCAGGGCGCTGATTGAATGGGTCCCCCGTCCCCGGTGGGCGCTCCGGCCCCGCAGGTGCTCGAATAGCCACCGGCAGCGGTGCGCCCACGGGAGGGAAGGCAGGTGGTCCCCGGGTCTGGGGAGAGAGGACGTGCTCCACCGGGCCCCGGGATCGCCACCCCGCCGCGGGATCGCCACCCCGCGGCGCCCCCACTGGCCGCCAGCCTCGCGACTTGGGGTCCTCGCGCCCCTCCGCTCCCCTTCCCTTCCCTTCCCTCCCCTCCCCTCCCCTCCCCGTCCCTCCCCGCCGCGCCCGCCCCGCCCCCGGAGGCCCCGCCCCCTGCCCCGCCCCCGTCCTCCCCGCTCCGCCCCCTCCCCGCCGGCGCCTGCCGCTCCCCGCGCTCGCAGCGCGGGCCTGGGGACCCGGGAGCCCGCCGCCGGGCCGCAGCATGGGGCGCTTCCGCGGGGGCCTGCGGTGCATCAAGTACCTGCTGCTCGGCTTCAACCTGCTCTTCTGGGTGAGACCAGGAGGCGGGAGGGCCGGGCAGGGCAGGGGGCCGGGCGGCGGGCGCCGGGCCGGGGTCCCCGGGGAGCTGACTGCAGCGTCCGAGTCGCGCTCCTGGGGAGGGCAGGGTGCTCAAACGCGGAGGCAAGGGGAAGGCAAACAAAGAGGGAGGGGAGGGATGGAGGGGAGAGAACGGGAAGACCGAAGGTTGATCAACGAGAAATCGTGAGAAGGGGAGAGACACCGTGTGCCTCTTCCCTGGAAGAAACCCCCACCTGCCTTGGTTTTTATCTCCCAGCTGGTGACCCCAGGTGCGGGGACCCAGCCTCTCCTCACCTCCGGAGGGCTTGGGGCCCTGGCGGTCCCTGTTCCCCTCCAGCCTCCCGTGCACACACCCCCTTCTCTGCCTACCAGCTGGAACCAGGGCCTGGCCATGGTGTTGGGAGAGAAACCCCTGCCCTGGGGCTGCCTGGGGTGGTGCTCCATTCGAGTGTGTGGACACACCACCTGGCTGCGATGGGTTTGTTTAGGAAATTGGAGATAGGGATGAAAATTGTGGTGGGGAGGGGGTCGTCCTTTTTCTGGGCATCAGGGAGGGGTGCCGCTGGGTGAGAGGGGGTGGTGAGTGCTCTTCTGGGAAGTGGGTGGGGAATGGAGGGGCTTCTAAAGGGCGGCAGCATCTCTCCACAATCCTCAGCGCAGCCTCTGCTAAATACTAATTCTCCCAGAGATGATCTCATTCAACTTTTCAGGGTTGGATTCAACCGACAGCATTCCCAGGATTCATGGTTCACAGAGAGAGAGGATCTTGACCCTTGTCTCCTTTATTACTGAGACAAGGATAGAGCTAGACTAAACCTACATCCCTGGATACCCTGTCCCAGGCCCTGGAAGACTGTGAGATAAGGTCTGAAAATTGTCTTTTCTGCACATTTCCTCTTGGGCTTTCTTAGGGAAATGTCAGCCAGTGTAACTGCTCATCTAGACCCTGAGGGAAAATGTAGGTCTTGCTTTGGATGAAGAGATTTGAGAGCAGCCAGGGACGGGGTGCTCTGAAACCACTGCGCTGGAGGAGGTGGCTGTTCTATCTGCTCTGGGGGAAGTTGTCTTCCCATTATTGCAACTAATTAATTATTGAATGATGGGCTCCACTTTTGTCTGCCAACCCATTAGCCTGGATGCCTGGGTGACTCCAGCAACTCCAAGCTCTTCAGCATCCTTCAGCTGTGGAAGGTGTGCAGGAGGTACCTCCCGGACCTCCCCTGAACTTTAAAGAGACACATGGCCTTTGTTCCCCTGGGATTTACATCAGGCATACTATAGGGAGGGACATTTCTGAAGACCATTTATGTTGTATTTTTTAGGATTCTGGCTTAATTTCAGAAGCTGTTAATGATAGATGTCATGATCCAGTGACACCCTTCACTCTCATTGCTTATGAATTCAAAAGAAGTTTTAAACCTGAGGAGGAATTCTTAGTCTGGGTTCAGTGCTTATTTAGTGCCTGATATTGTACCAGCCTTTCCAGTGATAGTTGGAAGCATTCACTGAATGTTTCCAACATGTCAGGGAGAGTGCTCAGCATATTTTATTCATTATGACACTTAATCCTCACAAGAGTCCTGATATACACATACTATATTATTTTGTTGTTGTTGTTGTTTGTTTTCTTTTTATCTGTTGTGGGTTTTTGTTTTGTTTTGTTTTGTTTTTGGAATAGAGATGAGGTTTCACCATATTGGTCAGGCTGGTCTTGAACTCCTAACCTTGTGATCTGCCCACCTCGGCCTGCCAAAGTGCTGGGATTACAGGCATGAGCCACCATGCCCGGCCTACACGTACTATTATTATCTCCATTTTTACAGATGAGGAAACAGAGGCTCAAATAGGGTAAGTCACCTAAGATCATGCAGCTAGTGAGTGGAAGGGATGGTATTCAAACTCAGCCTACCTGCTTTTAAGCACTGTGGTACATTCAATTAACCAGTGGTTCTCAAAAGTGGTTCCTGGGCCAGCAGTATCAGCATATCCTGGGAATTTGTCAAAAATACACCTTCTCAGGCTGGGCACAGTGGCTCATGCCTATATTCCCAGCACTGTGGGAGGCAAAGGCAGGCAGATCACCTGAGGTCAGGAGTTCAAGACCAGCCTTGGTCAACATGGTGAAACCTCATCTCTACTAAAATATAAAAATTAGCAGGGCATGGTGGTGGGCTCCTGTAATCCCAGCTACTTGGGAGGCTGAGGCAGGAGAATCTCTTGAACCTGGGAGGAGGAGGTTGCAGGGAGCTGAGACAGTGCCACATTGCACTCCAGCCTGGGCAACAGGAGCGAAACTCCATCTCAAAAAACAAACCAAAAAAAAACAACAAAAAATCATTCTCAGCTGATCCCAGACTTGCTGAATCAGAAACTCTGGGGGAAAGAGTTTTTAATTTAGCAATTTAATTTAACAAGCCACTTATGTAATTCTGATCCATGCTCAAATTTGAGACCCGCTCCATTAAACAGTGATTAAACAAATAATAATTTGTCAATATAAATACAGTTCCCTAAGCTTCTTATCTCACTGAGGAAACAAGACCAGTGGATATCGAACAACACAAAAATAAGACAGTATGGAATCAAGTGACGAGTTTCACACTGTTGACCATAAACACAGTAAGGACAGGAAGTAGGAGCAATGCAGTGTTTGAGTGCCTCCAGGTGTTTGCCAGTGAGGTTAGATCAGACTTTTTATGTATGTGATCTAAGTAAGGAGTTAGAGAACGGATCACAGTCATCATGAGGAGGCAGAAAAGTTCTCCTTAAGAAGGAGCTATTTAAGCTGAAGCTTGAAGGACTGGTAGAAAGGAGCTGGACAAGGGTGAGCACCCCCTCCACCAGCAGAGAAGCAGAGCAAGGGGGAGTGTGTGCCACCATCTGACTGTCAAAGCCATCAGGCTGGAGTGCAGAGATCCCAAGCAGGGCATGCCTGCACAAACAGGGTGTACTTGAACAAGTTATTCTTACTTCTAGGCTTGTTTTCCCATCTGTATGATTGGAGTAACAGAAATATTGAAAGGATTAAGAGGGACTATGTAAAGTATATGACCTCAGCTTCCTATGAGCCTAGGATGTAGTAAATGCTCGAAAAATGTTAATTATTATTTTTGTTATCAAGTGCCTGGCACATAGGAAGCATTCAATAAATGTTAGTTCTCTTTCCCCTGATTCCTTTCATGTTGGGGAATAGTATATAAGTTTGTTAAGTGACTTGCAATTTGTCTTCATTTGAGGATAACTACACATTATCTTATCAATTTGTACTTGTGGATTTTCCCCACTAGAACTTAAAACACTCTGAGAGCAGAAATTTTGTTTTTTCTGTTTTGTTCATAGTCGTATCCCCAGTGCTAGGATAGTGCCCAGCATATAGAAGGCATGCAGTGGGAAATGGGGAACTTCCTCTCCCCCAGTTTCATGGGGATGGGGGCAGGGGCAGCAAGCATAGCCAAGAGGCAGCTGAAACAGACACCTGGTGACGTAGGGGAAAGTCACTGTGTGGGATGGAGTATCTAGATGCCTGCCTTCACTGTAGCTGAGGGAACCGGATTCCAGAAAAGCCCCACTCTGCCTTCTGAAGTTGTTTTTTCCTGGTTGGAGGGCTTTGTGGGAAGTTTGGGAAAGGGGTGGAGGATAGTTTTCCTGGAAGGCCAGGTTTTAGCTGTGACTAAAGTATAACATTTACATGTGCCCTTAGAAGCTCACATGCCTGCCCCTTTGAGTTACAGAATTCCCTGGGTGACAGCACTTCCTTCCAGTCAGAACCTCACCAGAGGTAAGCATAGAGGCGGGGCAGGGTCGTTTGGTATCTGCGGTTTAACAAATCAATTTGCAGCCTCCTCTGGCAGCTTGCTTTAAGTTTCCCTAGGCTGTGCTCCTGTTTCATAAACATACAAGCAGACCCTGCCAGAGCCAGCATAGTGCTCCCTGGCCCAGGCTGCTGCCTGTACTCACCACTGAATTTTTTAAAACAAAGTAAAGCCTAGCCATTAACCCCCCTACATTAATTTCTCTTATCGTGAAACCCCTCCCAACATCTGTCACGTCTAAATTCAGACCCTGAGTTCAGATAGCACGACATATTCCTGTGCCTTTTATTGAAATCACCTTTATTTTTTTCCTATGTTGCATAGCAATATAAATAAAACACTACTCCCCCACCAAGCCACATATGTTGGTTTAAAGGAAAACCTGGACGCTGTTTATTCCTTGGTTTATTGTTGTATGCTCAGCGTTTTCCTATCATTGTGCTGCACTAGCGGCTCAGCGTTACCGACCCACAGGAAGCAGAGCTGCTCATTGTTGAAAAGCAGATGCCATATATGGCAAGTTTGAAGTTGCCCTCCTTTCCTTCTCACCATTATTAATACAGCTTTTGGGGATGCCTAACAGGTGCTTTTAAGAAAGACAGTGTCAAAGAAGTTTAACTCACATGAATCTTATAGAGGCCACCTCCCCCTCTTTCCCAAACTTATTTCAAACAGTAACTTCAGAGCAATCACCTGTCAGAGAGACTGGATTAGGAAAAAATACCTAAAGAAAGTAATCTTTGGAGGCCAGCCCATAAGACAGATAGGAATGTTCTCAGCCTCGCTGTAGGAGAGTCTTTATTGCTGATTTTTGTGAAGGTGGGAAGGGAGCAACAGGGGCCAATGTC